TATAGTGGTTCGGTCATCATGACCTACATCCACTCCCGATTCCTCTTTCGTCGAGGCCATCGGCTTCCACTACCGATCTTCTTTCAATGGGCGAAGATCAACTACCCTTACAACTTGATTCTCCTTTTGACAGGTTTAGGAGAGAACCTTTACACCCCCACTACCTCCTTTCTTAAACTTTACCAACACTTAGAGCTTGAGAGGAGTTCTCACAAGATTACAACTGCATTTTTCTTTCTTTTTACTCTAGTTATTATATAATCTAAGCAGGGATGATAGGGGTATTTATAGGCCCCAAATGGATTTAAACTTTGAGCCTAAAAGTGTCTCATCCTCGATTTTCGGGGTACTGGTGATGCCACCGCCAATATTGAGCGGTACTACTGCATGACACTTTGACACTAGGCAGTACCACAGCCCGGTCTGGTGATACCATTGCCTGACAGAGCCTTAGAGACTAAGCTCTAGTAGTACCACCGCTTGATAGCCTTATGGCTGGTGGTACCATCACCCAGTTTGGGCGATACCCCCGCCCAAACCTCCTTAGAGGTTGAGCCTCAAGCAGTTCCACCGCCTGGCATAGTTCCAAGTGGGTGAGTGAGTCTTCCATTCGGCCCAAGTCAAGACTTACTTAGGCCCAATGGCCCCTCTAATTGAGTTGGCTTAATTCCAACTCAATTACATCTTAATACTATTTCGATCTAGACAATTATTATAAAGTGTTAATCAAATGTTTTCTGACATGTCATTGGTTTATTGACGCTTCGTCCAATCCTTCGGCGCATCATCCTCTTTTTGTGGCCTTTTGCCTAATCGACATGTTGACCTCTGCAACTCCGATCTCCTTGGTGCAATGTCTGCTCTTCTAGGCTCGCGAACTCATGGCACGAAGCCTTTTGTCGATACGTCAACCAATCCTCCAACTCGACGTCCAATCTTCTGACATGTTTCACTCTGGCCCAATATTGATTCTTCCTAATTTAACTATCTCTTCATGATTAAAGCTAGTCCCGTGTTACTAAAAAATGCAGATTAGATCATAAACTCTATCAATTTGTTTCATCATCAAAATCCAAGATTCAATAATACCGACTAGTGTTAGGTAGTGGTACCACTAGATTGGGTAGTGGTGCCGCCTAGTGTCAGAGTACTAGCGATGGTACTGCCCAGCATAGGTGGTGGTACCGCTAGTACCCCAAAATCTTATGGATTTGAATTTTGGCTCAACATTTTAAAGTCATTTGGGGTCTATAAATATCCTAATCTTTCTTGCCTAATGTAGCAAGAAAGTAAAACAAAACTCTGTGATTCTAAAGCTATAAACCCTTGTAAAGTGTAGAGTCTCTCATTCTAAAGTTTAGAGACTATTCTAAGAGAGAGTACGAGAGAAACTTTGTAAAAAGGGGGTGTAAAGGTTCTCCTAAGCTCATCAAAAGGAGAAAAAAGTTGTCAGAGGGTAATTGGTCTTCGTCCATTGAAGGAAGACCATTAGTGGATGCCGGTAGCCTCAACGGAGGAGGAATCGATAGTGAACATAGGTCACGATGACCGAACTATTAAATATCTGGTGTGCTCTTTTCTTTCGATATGGGGTTTATCGAACAATATTTTTCTAAATCATTATTTTTAACAAAGCACTAATTCAAAACCCCCCTATCGATTTCGGTCCTAACAATCATCTCTATTTTATTATTGGTTGAAATATTAATATATCTAGTATTCATAAAAGATTTTATAATTACGAAGGACTGATATTATCCTTGTGGAATAGTATTGTTATCTTTGGGTCCTGAACTACAAGAATATTAAAAATAATAGCATCCTATTTCATCATATATTCCTTTGAGATTATCTAAATATTCTAATTATGTATGCAATTATAAATATTATTTTTCTTAATATTATTTAAGACTAATTCTTAATGTAATTTTATAAATTTATTAATATAGATAATTTTGATGGCTACAAAACTAATACAATAAAATATATTTTAAATATCATATCAATGATAAAATATTTATTATAATTCATATCCCATAAGTCCATCAACCTATGTCACTTTAGTGATTATAAATTAAATAAAAATTAGGAAAAATTTTATAAATATTATTTACTAATTTTTTTTAAATATAATTCATTCAAAATAATTTAATAATAATTATAATAATTATTGAACTTTTTTTAGTATAAAAAAAATCATATGATAATTATAATCATAATAAAACATAAATAATACCTTTATATGAATAATAAATATTATTTTATTTTTTAATATACATATGAATAATCATATAAATATTCAAAAGTAATAATTCGAATTTAAGTACCATAAATAAATAAAAATACCAATATTATATATAAATAATAAAAATTCATAATTTTTAATTTTTAATTCTATACGGAACCTTAAATTAAGACAAGTACTTAATTAGAAAATCTAAAAATTAGGCTACCCAAATTGAGCTCATAAATTTGGGTCAAATATTAACCCAATTAATTAAGTTACACAAAATTAAAATTGACCAAGGTCAAATAAAGTTGATTAATTCAAAAACTTCAATTTTGATCAAATTATGCTATTATATGAAATATTTTTAATACCAAAATCAAATTCAAATAATGATATATTAAGATTAAAATTGTGTACTTTCAATGCAATTCAGAATACCTTTCTTCTAATCTACAAACACATTGTCGTTGAATTCAAAGGAAGCAGTAATGTCAATTTGTAAAGAGAACTAAACTCATCTTCTCCTCTCTTTCTATTTTTTACAAGATAACTATAAGTGATGGACTATGAACTAAGAGAGATTGAGAATAGATCTTTAGTTTATTTATAGGCGAGAGTAAAGGGTCTAAGATAAGTAATTAGAAGAGTCATTCCCATCAAGACTATCTTCTAAAAAATTCTACTATAATTAAACATTCTTTCAATTGGCCTATAAACATAATCAGAATTTAATTAGATCTCTAATATATCTTATCTAATTAGATATGATCATATAATCTAACAAAAAATATCAAATATCTTAATTAAAAAATAAAAAAAATCAAATATATATCAATTAAAAAACTTATGGAAAAGACATATATAGAAACCATGTTTGAAGTAAGAATTTATAGAAAGCATATCAACGTGGGAATATCATATAAACTATTACAAATATGTATTAATACATATGAACCAAATATATTAATTTTCAAGGCTTCATAGGTAGCTGGTTTTTCTCTTAAGTTGCCACATTTTTCTCATGTTAGAATAAATTGTTTTCAAGTCTCAGTTGATTTGTTCATTCAATATTTGTGAGTTAATCTGAAATCTCATCATTAATTATATCATATTCTTTGTCATATCTCATGTTAACAGCCTCCATAAATCGATAGACAAATCATTTTACATTTACTTTAGCAAGCTCTTGTAATATATTATAAATCATGTTATCCATGAAAACTGTTTTCTAGGATTTTTCAAGAACAAATCTTTGCAGGTTCCTCAGCTTACATAATCCTCACTAAGTCTGTATTAGTAAGGCTTCAATTATCATGTCAATATGAATATAAGCAGCTCCAAATTTAAAATTATCTATAACTGAAATCAAATATTTTTACAAGTATAGAATGAAAAATCATATACTTTAAAGTTTTTTTTGGTAATTAAAAGGACAAAAGCATCAAACTTTTTGAAACCCTGACTAAAATAACTAATCTTCAAATGACTTCTTTAAAACCATATGTTTTCTTTAAAGTAGAAATAATTTTATTATGGCAATGATTTTCTACCACTAATTACTTTGTACAAGTCAAACTGTGGCACAATTTCATAACTTGGCATCAGCTCTGTGATAGTTCAACTTAACCTGGATTTCTCCATATGATATTTAGGTTACATATATGCTTCTTAGATTACAGCACAATCAATGACCCGAAACTATAAGTTACATATATTTATTTTCAATGCCATAAGCAAGGGAGGGAGGGAGGGAGGGTTTGTCTTGTTCACCATCGAAACTATCTTATGAACAAATGACAATGCCTGTTTTCTAGCCATGGCTAAGAAGAAGACCAGCATACCATTCTAATCAAAACAAGTCTACCATTCCCAAGAGTAAGGATACTTTCCTTTTCCTGGTAGGTTCTGTGCATCTTGTGTTCTATAAGTTAGTGCCATTCACTGAAGAAATAGATAAGCAGCAACTCGAAGAACATGAGAACAGAATCTAGTCTCTCTTTCTTGTTGTTCCCCCTTCTATCTACAAGCATAAAATCTGAGTGTTTACAGTGGTTACATGATCTTCTCCTGATCTTGTTTCACATAGAAACTTAATCATCACAGACACCACAACAATTGCAAACTTCTCCTGATGATACTCAAATATTATAGCTGGTAGATTACTTCACAATTACTGATATCTAAGCAGGGTGTTCTAATGCTATCATCCAATAATAAGTTTCTAACGCATCAAAGGAAAAGGTCAAAGAGGAAAGTGATGAACAATGGCAGTCAAGGCGAATCTAATAGCTCCAAGTGCTACGTTACATGTAGGAAAAAGTTAGGGTTTTTGTTGCCCCCACTATGTGGGTTATACCTTTTTATCCTTTACCTGATGATGAAGAGTTGTCCATGAAATCCAAGAAGACAAACCTGTACAAAAGCCGAAACACATGACTGTCAAACTGATGCGTCTCTACAAGCATGTACGAAACACATGCAAGCCATGCCTGCACAAATGCATTTCTTCCCTACCAAAGATTCAACTGACATGATAACCATGAAGGCAAGGAAAGCTCCACCCAGAAGAACACAAACTCTAGCTAGAATACTGCTGAGAAAGACAGTCATTGCACTTCTGAACATAATCATCAGAACAAATAAAACCATTCAGTCCATTGTCAATACAGTCAAGGAGAGAGAGAGAGAGAGATTCGCAAAGGTTATCGATACACCTGTTACAATGGAAGAAAGCCCAAAAAAGGCAAACCCTAAAAACCACTCATAAAAGTGAAATAAAGCCCCACTCCAGAAGATTATTGTACTAAATCTTTTCTGCAAGTACACCAAAGAAAAGAGAAAAGAGAAAACAGTAGTAGAAGAAGAAGAAGAAGAAGAAGAAGAAGAAGAAGAAGAAGAAAAGGACTTGGTTGTTAATTGGCTTCTGCACCAACTGAGATCACATTTACTGATGAAGAAGAAGAAGAAGAAGCTATGATGAAAGACCAACCACGCAGTAACCAGTACATTAGAAGAAGATGGTATGCCATGCCTGCCATGTAGACACATGCACAACCAGCTCACTCCTCCAGCACCTCTACAGAAGTCTTCTTCCTCTTCCTTCCCAATTCACAAGGCTAAACATCATCCGAGTACGATCGGAGATGGATAATGCATGTTACCGATTAAGCCGAATGGATCCGAGGTTCCTCTCGGAGCAAACGGTCTTCTTGATGCCACAATGACTGAAAAAACACAAGGGGCTTGAGACGTTTGCGTCCGACAGGAACTCTCCGATCCGCATTCCCTCCGGTGATCCGCCCGCGTTGCCCCCATCACGACGAACATGAAATATAGTTATAGCCCACTACTACTACTGGTAATTGAGAGAAGCAGCAATTATGAACGATGAGCAAAGTTGAGAGACGGTACTAATTATCCATTCGGACTAGATCAGAGGCGTGACCGACGACCCACCCGCAGTTTGTGCCGTCTGGCCAACCGGCGCCGCCGCTGATGGCAGCATTCCAGTACACTGCTGCAGCTGGACCGTAATCATCCAAAGAATTCTCCGGTGGAATCTGCCAATCTATGCAGCTGTTGATGTTGTCGTTCACCATGTGATTGGTCTGCCCTTCTAATTTCACTTCCTTCATCATCCCATTAATGCTCTCGCTCATCCCGCCAGAGGTTTGCAGTTCATCAAGCGGCAACAAGACTTGATGGTCCTCCACTTGCTTGGGCCGTTTAATGCCCGATACTAGAAGCGATGCAGATGACAGAGATGAACCAAAGATTGGATAGTCGTTCAAGAGTGAAATCGCGGCTGAGCTCATCGGCGCTAATGGCTGAAGCTCCCCGAGATGGTACTCGTTTTCGAGCAGCGGGTCGGACGACAGCCCGAGACCAAGTGCGCCGAGATGAGGCTGCAGATCGAAGGCAGAAGCGCAAGACGGGAAGTGGATGCTGTTCGCGATAATTGGCAACGTGAGGCTCATATCCGAAGATGAAGCCGCCGCTTGCAGGGCGTAAATCGCGGCGGCGTCGAGTTGGGAAGAGGAAGATCTCTGCGCCGACAAACAAGCGATCGGATCCGGCGGAAAAAGAGGGCGGGGGTGCGGATTACCCGGCGGCACCATGGGAGCGGCTGCCGGCTTCTTGGCGCGCTTGTTTTTGCGGCACCCGCCGCCGACGGGGACGTTCCGGAGCGTGCCGCCGCGGGTCCAGTACCGCTTGCACGCCTTGCAGAAGTGCCTCGGCTGAGACAGGCTATAATTGTTGTAGTAACAGAACTTGGTGTTGGAGGAGTCACATCGGGGGCATCTCAGCGCCGCCTGTGGATGATCTTGCGCTGACGGCTTGTCCATAACCCTAGCAGCACCGGGAGTAGTAGAATTGACATGGACCATATCGTTGTTGTTGGTGTTAGTGATGGTACTGCTACCATTGTTGTTGTTGGTGATGGTGGTTGTAGTGGTGATACTATTGCAGCTCTTAGCAGCGGTCATAGGTCTTTCACCCACCATCTGCAGAGAAAATTGAACAGAGGAGTTCAGAGAAGATCTGACAAGGGGGGAGAGAGAGAAAGAAAGCTAGGGTTGGAGGGGTATGAATGATGAAAACCAGAGAAGGTTCCCTGACAAAAGCTAGCCAACAAAAACAAGCATGCAGTACCATTGACTGATGGCGATAGGGAGAGAGAGATAGAAAGAGAAAGAGAGGCTAACGAGGAGGAACAGATGCCACATGTGGACTAGCGTAAGAAGGGAAAAATCGGTGCCAACCTACCTGTGGCCGTTCCTTGCCTGAGCTGATGCCCAACTTCTCTCCATTGCAGAGCATCTTCCTTCCTCACTGCCAACCGCAACTCCGGATACCGATGATATCTCGATAGAAGTTCAAGGCAACAGAAGCAAGAGAGAGAGAGAGAGAGAGAAGAAGAAGAAGAAGCGAGAAGGGTGTGCTTATGATCAAAGCAACACTAACTCAAAGAGTTGGGTGAGCAAAATTTACCCAAGAAACAGAGCATATAAGTAGTAGTGGTGGTAGTAGGAAGAGGAAGGGAGCAGGAATCCCGATGCAGGAGTAAGCGAGAGAAACGAGGCAACCGAGGGGCAGGAGAAGAATCCTTGCGACTGCCACTCGCCTCTCTTTTCTTTACTTTGCCTTTAGTTTTTTGTTTGTGCCCGCTGTGCCTCTCCCAACTGTTCAAAGCAGCCTCCCTCCTCTACCTCAAAAGAAAGGAACTCCCACAGGAAAGCGACAACGCTCACCATGTGATCTCATGAGTAAAAGAGAAGAGAGAGAGAGCGAGAGAGAGAGAGAGAGAGAACGAGACTGTGGGTTTTAGGTCTCGTTGCTGCTCTTCTCTGTTGCGAGTTCCCGTTAGGCCCAGGCGTGCCACTGCTTTAATAGGACAGCAGATGGGCTCACCCATGTGATCGAGCAGCTCACAACTCCCTCCTCGTCCTCCTCCTCTCTCTCTCCCCCCCTCCATCTGTAAGAAAGAAGAAGGCATTCATCTATTCACGTTCCAGGGAGAGGAACAAACGACAACGGGATTTTGTAGTGTCCCGAGGGATCTCCACTACACCCCACCATTATTCTCCCCTAAACCGACACTCTATCTTCTGTGTCATAGCCACACAAGACGATTGTTAAGCTACATCTCATTCCTGTAAACCCAAGCTCGAAAGGAGCAGCAACAACACTTGTTACTCGGTCTTTTGAAGGTCCTGTTGGCGTCCACAAAAAGAGCAAGAACCACAAGCAATACCGAGCCCTGGAACATGGTGGTGTTTCATGCATGCTGCAGTGAAGATAGACAGTAGCACTGCTTGGTCCTTTGAACGTTTGGTAGCACTACCAATCATTCAAACCTGGTGTTGTTTTGTGCTGCAGCGGGGGTAAGCACTGGCAGTACTTGTTGTTCTTGTATTGTCTTCTGAAGGGTTTGTTGATTCAAAGATGGCGTTGAAGGTCTGTACATGTAACAGTGAGGAGACATGGAGGAGAAGGCAAGCTGGGTAAAGGCTTCAGGTCAAACACATGAATGGGGGAAGTGGGTGGCGGGGCCCTCCTGGGGGCCCCCACCCACTACCACCACGGATTCCCATGCATTGCATGATGATCATAGAAGGACAATGTCCCATAACGAGCGTTAAGTGATCCCCGTTTGGCACGGTAAAGAATGTTTTGATGATCGAAAGAGAGCTTAACGTGTGACTGACAAGTGAGCGGCGTAAGAGAGAGAAAGAGAGTGAGAGAAGAATCCTCAGTATACCACGACGACAAAGATCTTAGTTCCGATTAGGGTGTACTATTCTAACCTATGACATTCTCATGAGTAAACTATTCATGAATATGATATTAGGTTCTCTCTCTCTCTCTCTGTCTATCCATCTATCTATACATATATAAAATAGACTGATAAAGGGATGTTTATAGTGCTAAAATTAGAGCATTACAAACTACAAAAATTGTGCTTTTAATGCAGGCAACAATTAAGGTTAATGACTGTCTTCTGACTAATTTTGCTAATGTTTTTTAGGATCAGTATGTGAGGAATGATATTGATATCAATCCCATTCGGTATTAAAGTAATAATTATTGTTTTTCGATGATACTATACCATATTTTAAACGTTGAATATAAAAAAAAATCACCATTTTCCTTTTGATAATGTTCTAAAAAGTGCTTACGACAAGAATAATACAAGTATTTCATCTGATTATTTTTTATCGATTACGACAAGCGAGTATAATACATTACGAAAATTATCAGCTTCATTAATTTTATATCAGGCCACCTATCATCATCATCTGATTCAAAATTCCATTTTGTTATTTTGTTATTTTTTTTTGTGTGACAATAATGATTGCAATAAAGAAATAATGGGTTATGGTGGTAGTCAATTTCATCTTCGTTGATATTTATGTGAGATTAAGTTCCTCCAAATTTACAAATGAAGTTATAAATAGTGACTTTTTTCTCAAAGTAGTAATGGCTAATGGAGGCATCTATCTTGAAAACCTCAACACGATCAAAGTGGTCGACCAAAACTCGAATCAATTGACACAGGTACTAATAATTTCGAAAGTGAATGACCAGAAGAACAACAATGCACATGAGAAATGCATGAGACTCATGAAATCTTGTCAGGTCCAAGTGCACTAAATGGTGTTCCAATCATAGCATATGGCAAGCCTGTCAAAAGATCACACTGTCCAACTGATCATTGTGGAGACTTGATGTGGTTTTATTGAATATGTGAATCTTATCTTATGTTCCATAATTTGATGCGAAAACCAAACCCAGTCTTATCTTAAATTAATATTATTACTTCACAAAAATATGGACTTCATACACATGAACACATGACAAATGTCTTCCATGTACTAATATTTTCCTTAATTCCCTGATCCATCTGATGAACAACATATCAAAATCATAGTATATGTACTAAAGAAAACCTCTTGTGAATTCAATGTACCTTCCATGGTCGATCAATTTCGATGCTGTAGCAAAGTTGAACTTGTGTGAGAATATCTCATGAAGTAATCTTGGTGGTTTTGACCCTAAGAACACAGGACAACAGTTCCTTTCATGTTTTAGGTGTATTGTGTTGACAATCCCACTCGATGAGATGGATACATGGTGGAGAGAAATGCATTGCCAAAGTGGATTTGACAACTCCATCAAGTCAACACCCAATAAAAAAAATGGAAATAGAAAGAGAACTACAGGTTTAATCTAATCATTATTCCATGGAAATGAATATGTAGAAATACATTTGCAAAAAAATTACATCTACTCCTAATGTCATGCATGATGTCCCTATAAATACATTTAGAGAGAAAAAAAACATATTCACAAGCTAATTATGGCAGCATACTATTCAATTCCTTTGTGTCTGTGTGTCTTCTGATCATCTTGTTGCCTATATATATATATATATATATATCACAGTCACAGCCTCAAAAGCATCATTTCGAGGGTGACAGATTGATGCGACACACCACAAGGAATCGATTACAGTCATTATCCTCATATATTGGCGGCCAATGCCAGCTTGCTCAACTAGTGGAATCTAAGATCTCCCGAGTGTGTCCATGGCCATGCCACTCCCCTTCCTTCTCCCTCATGGCAATGTTTAACATCAGATCATGCTCATCCACACAGTCTCATGGTCCTATGGACCGTTAGGATCTCGTTACTAGCTCATCATAAGACTTGAGTCGCATAAAGAAAGGGGGAAGGTGGCCGACGACACTGGAGCAGATGCATCTTCCTTGTTTGCACCACCTGCTCTTTGTACTACGTTTTGGTGTTTGCTTCTGTGACACTCGCTTCCCTTGTTTTTATTGATGTATTATTTGTCGTTGATCAGGTGCAGAGAACCTGAAGCTTGTTGTCTAGGAATTTGGTGAGACTTTTGTGCAGCTTACGCGTGCTTTAGAGTCAAAGATTGGTCCCAAACACTGTGATTTTTCCTTCCGAAAGCATTACTCCTACCACTGTGTTGTAGATCTTCTCCAGATATGACTCAGCTTTCTTTTGACCTTTGATCTCCAGAACAGAGAAAGAAAGCGATGGAATCTAACAGTGATGAATCCTGTTGTGCAAGCTTAATTCATGGATCTCACTGGTTGGCAAAGATCAAATCAATCCAACATAAATCCACGTATATGAACACAGAGAGGGAGCAACCTGGTCTGAGATGGAACATCGGAAGAAACAAACGCCCTCGCAAAGTATGGCCTCATCGCATGGAAAACAGTAAAGAAGAGGAATAACTCTGGCAGGAATCCCCAGTTTACTTTTCCCAGATTTGATGGTAGACAAACAGCATCATCCCTTTCTTGCTAGAGAAGGATCCTCGTCCTCCTCTTTCAAGTTGATCTGCTCTTTTTCTTAATCCCAGCCATTCTCACCAGCTTCGGGTCTCGGGTTTTGGAATTGCATGCCTGGAATTCCGGGAAAGGGAATGTTTCGGGTGGCTCAGGTTGACACAGGTGGCATGGAGATTAATTTAGTCTTAATCCAAGCTCCACTTGGTCCCACTAAGATCGCTTGTTGGATCTTGTTAAGAGTAATTGGATCGAGCATGTCTTTTTAGCATGTTCTTGAGGCTCCTCTGTGCTATATGCCATGATGATGAGCATTACTCTACGTGCAGTTCCCCACCAAGGTGGCAAATAAGTCTCCATAAACCAGCAGCTGACGTCGTGTGATCATGAGCATAATAATATATATATATGCCTAATGGAAGCTCATTTGCCTCAGAACGATTCAAAAGCTTAAGCATCATTCATTCGTAGGCCTCATACATCGTAATTGTCTCATTCCAATCATGGAGACGAGCTTTAAGTTGAGGAAGACATCTCCAGTTGTCGTGTTTCAGAACAAAGGAAGGGTTCTCAGCAAGATGACAGGCGTCTCAAGCCACTCCTCCATGGTTAACTCATTCCGACGGTGCTGTCACTGAACTTTTAGGTGGTCAGAGACCTACAGCAGAGGAATCTGCTATCCACGAGGGAGGAGGAGGGGAAACAGAAGGCCGAGCTACCTTGCAAAGCTACGTTTAGCATCAAATGATGCTTCCCACAACGTTGGGATGTGACACTGCACATATTTTTAGGAGCTCCACTGTGCCCAATACGTGATCTCACGCAGCAAGAACAAGATCGAATGAGTGTTGTTTCAAGTTCCTCCTATTTGGATTTGCAGGTCATTCTTTGAAGCATTGGGTTTCTTCCAACATATCTAGGGAGTCTAGTCTACTTCCTGTGTCTATATGGTCTTTCCTGGCTGGCCCTTTAGCTAAAGATGATGAATTATATTAAAAGATTAGTGCAAAAGCAGTGCCTTGTACACATGCATATATATACAATCTTATAGGATCCCATGTCATTCCATTGCCTTTGGGTGAAGATGAGAGTTAATTGGGTTCATTGGCAGAGTCCTATAAAAAGAAAAGCACGCTTCTTCGATCACTCATACACTAGAAAGGGAAAAAGAAGGCAAAATTGAGAACACAAATTGAAACGGATCAGTTTGCCAACTTATATCCATGGACGAAGAAGACGAAGATAAAAACAATGCAAGATAAAGAAGACAGAATTGCTGCATAAATGAAGTATCAGAATACACGGAAACTCCAAACTGTAGGAAAAATCATAATAAAATGGTATAATAGACAACTCTAAGATAACATAGAATGGCCAAAATTGATCACGAAAGATAATTCGATTTATTTTAAAATCATCTGCACGATGTCCTGATATGGATTGAACACAAAGCACGACCCACAATCAAAGATCCACATAAGGTTGCCAATACAAATCACAAGTAACCAAAGAACATCTCTGCAGTCGTGAATATACTCACGTTTCAAGGCAAGCTAAACTGTTCTGAAGGTTGAGTAAACGTATCTAATACCGAATGCATTGCATATACAATGTACACTAGACTGAAAAAGGGTGACCCCAGAATATATCGGTCTGCTGCATCTGTGTATTGAACTCTAATCATCAAGATGTCATTATTAGATGCAATCTTCTACCACAACAAAAAGGGAGAGAAGTTGCATCGAGAAACAAGTGAACGATTTCCTCCCTATCAAAGTGAATGGGCAATCAGTTCTCTACAAACAACTCTTTCGATAATATCTTTGTTAGCATTTAAAGATCCAGGGTCAGCTGAATCTACAAATTAGACCACCTTTCAAACAGTTCCAAACATATGGGAACCAACTATTTGTAAACCCAACTTGAAGAAAAAGCAGCAACCAGGAAATCAGACCATGTAAGTCATGCCCACCTGCATCAGGTTTGTATGGGGAACGCTTAGTGATGCAATACCTCTTCTGCAGTTCCTTCTCAAGAAAGCATAGAAGTAGTTTATAACCAGCTTCTTAATGAACCAAGATTCCTTCCTAGCCCTAATGTCACCATGTCCAAGAAGATAAACTACGCCGGACTCTTTTGCCTTGTGTATGAATGAGAGCTCCCGCTCAAGGCTTTGTCGTGCATCTGTCACAGTTTCATCACGTGGCTCATCAAAGGAAGTGCTTGCTTCTGAGATTGTCCTATCAATACCGCTATAACCAGCCATAAGTGGGACACCAAGAGAATAAACGCTGCCATTAGGAGCTACAAGAATGTTTGAACAAGAAACCTCAGTTTCAGAGTCTGTGTCACGATCCTCGTCGCTCTCCAGTGAACGTTCTTGGGCTTCTCTGCGTATGAACTTCTCAAGGCTTTCAATCAAAAGTTGTTCAAATATCAGGTGATGCTCTTTACGCACATCCTTGTAGCCATACCTGCATCAAATAACTAAAACTAAGCACACTAGCAGACAAATTAGTGGAGGTGTTGAACAACTGCACTGTGATAGATGGTACAAGTCATCGACTCCTTGTAAGCATAGCATCCATAGGACAGCAGTGTGGTGCATATCAATCAGTGAGCTACAGACCACCAACTGACTAAATGACCAGGGTGAGGTGCCAGAGATATCATCCCTACTTGAGTATATTATAACAATATCATGGAAAGAAGAAAAATAGGACAGCAAATTATGAACATAGAATATGCTGGATATGTTTTCTAAAGAGAGTTTCAATGACATGTAGCTGTTTGAATAACAATAAAATGTTTCTGAAAATTCATAAAAAATATCCATAAATATACAAACAGATAAGAGAACTTAAATCTGACTCAACTCAATTTTTAGTTTGAGTTTAACCAATTTTCAACGTAAAATTTTACTGTTAAGATTAAGATCTTTTAGGACTCCTAATTTCATCTTTGTAACTCGATTAAAAAAAAATTAGACCTTTCATTCTAGTTTAGGTCGTAGTTGTACAGAACCAAATTCAAGACAAGAATCCTCATTTGGTGCATAGACACGGGATCTGTTTCTCACTCGTTGAGTTTCCCACTGATAATAGTTTCCTAGAGAGGACATCAACATCTAAGTCAAGGCACTAGGAGTGCGAACAATGACCAGTCATGGAAACCTTCAGAATTGTCAATATAGTAAATGCACTAGAAGAAAATAAATATTGTTTTGCAAATTTTAATTGACAGAAGAAACTGGAAGTGTTTTTCATTGTTTTATCTTTGCCACAGTGTTATCCTAAACTACTAAATATAAACATCTCAAAAGCCTAGTAAATTATTCTCACCGAGCAATGCAACGAAACACGTGAAAACTTTTAGGGCAGACCCGCCTGAAGAGAAACCTTTCTGTCTGTGGCACGACAGGAACTGGCACATATTTTATGCACACAAATATGATCATTGAGTGAATTGCTGGCAAAGTGGTCAAGAAATGACCAAAGATTGCAGGGATTCCTTTGACTAGCTCATTGTAAACCAAGCCAATTCCAGGGGCCCTTATAGTACCAAGGTTGCTACCCAGTTCCATCATCAAATCCATAGAAAGTTTCTGTTTCACTTCAGTTTCATACTTAAGCTTGCTGCCATAGTTCCATATGTACATTATCATAAACAATACTGCTGCAAAAACCAACATCACCCAGCTACCATCTACCACACTACCCAGAACTGAAGAGAAGAAAAGTAGTTCCAACCCCAGAAAGAAAGTCAAGAAGCATAACACAAATACAATGTTGATCTGCCATATAAGAAGCATAATTATAGTTACTAAGATTGTGGTCATAATCATCACGCCAAGCTCGGCAATGCCTGCACAATATGTTTTGTCAATAAAGGAAACAAAACGGGAGACATATATGAATGAATGGGCTATTCCGATCAGTAAAAAGGAAAAAAATTCAAAAATATTTTGGAAAAGGGAAACAAATATATAATGAAATAGGAAGAACCAGTATTGTTGGAAATATCAATAGTGAGACAATCTCATAATCTTTCACATTTTCTGATCAAAAGTTTCAAGAGGCATTAACTGAAAATTCTTCATTGTGTATGCCACATGGACTCAGGATTCAGGAAGCATATTCCATATAGCAGAAAAACTAATCAAAATGCCAATGACCGAAGGACCATATTCACTATGACATGCTCTTTCTGACCATGAAGATAAAAAACTCCTAACAATAATTATCATCATACGTGTGTAGATTTCTCAAGCTTCCAAAAATTTACCATCTTATTCTATTATTCCATTTAGGAAGTGGGATGTGAATTCCTAGGAGAGAGCCTCACTAATCCTAATAACTCTTGAGTTGGTCTTGGACTTCTCATCAAACACTTGCTTATATCAAAATCAAGAGGAAACTTTGATCATGGAAGGTATACTACAAGATGTAAGAATGGGTAAATAAGAATCATGACAATCCATCCATCAGAGCATCATAAGAAAACCTTTGCATGTGAATGTCCATATGTTATCCAACATTCAATCAGACTGTACACAGGCAATTATATTCAAAATGGTTAAGAAAGGTGGTGTAACTTTAATCTCAGTGACTGAAAATGAGTTCCAAGAACTATTGGTCAACAACAACAAGAACAACAAGTCTTAAGCCCCAAACGTGGGCTGGCTAACCAAACGACATAGAGATGAAGAGACAAAATTATGGAGAAATAAAAAGTGTGACACATAAAGAGGTGATCCATAGAAAGAGTATGACTACTTGCTTCAATGCATCAGAAATTTCTCTTCTCTCCACCTACATATTACCCATAGCTTTTTTATCCCCAACCAAAAGACATTGTCATGAAGATTATCATCATAATTAAACAAAAATTTAAAAAAGGACCACAATATCATTTTCAAGGCAAAAGATAAGCAAAAGGATAGGAATAAAGCACCATATGCATTGCCAATCTCATATATGTTACCAAAGGTAGCAACAAATGCCACACAGAAAACCAGCAGAAACCAGTTTATCACTGGAATATATATTTGGCCCATGAACTTCCGAGACGTATGTATGATTTTAAGTCGAGGAAAACAGCCAAGAGCTATTGATTGTTTTATGCATGAAAAAGTTGCTGTTGTCATTGCTCGACTTGCAATTAGCGCAGCTATAGTTGCTATGAGAAAAACTGGCCAGAAAGCTTCACCTGCAATTGTAAATAGCATAGTTATGTCCTGAAAATTTGCCAAACCTTGAAAGCATACTTGTGATATTAAATGGATTTTGACCTAGTTTACTGATCAAAAGTTGTAATGTTGCTCAAAGATTGATGGTGTCATGGATTAGAACATCACAAGTACAAGCAGAAGACAACCTTGCAGATACAAAAGAGTAACAAAGACAAGAAATAGATTGATCTAGCTTCAACTTGCAGATATCAGTTAGAAGAAAGTAATGAAGACAGGAAATAGATTGATCTAGCTTACTCGGGATAGATGAAAAGAAGACCTGCTGATTTTCCGTAAAATTTTCCATAAGGAATGCAGCCTGACCAAGGTACCCCAAGATAAGGCATGGCAGAACGAGAAACAAAAAGGTGAGCTGCAATAAGGAGCTAAAGTAATCAGAGCATGTAAAAATGTTATAAAATAAGTTCTGAAAGAACAGGAAAGGAAACAAAAAGAAACAAATTTTCATAGTTCTCGATGCTTTACCTGGACGGATCTAACAGAGAAATAGCAAAGGTCAGCAAACATTGCCTCAGATCCTGAAATACAATGGCCAAGTCAATCACTTAGCTTGAAGAAATAGTTATAGATAATGTTGAGCAACAGAGAATCTGAAGAAGGGCTACAGAAGTATTTGTTATGAGTAACTAAGGATTTCAGTTTTTTACTTCACATAATCTCCATGCTATCATATTCATTATACTCAAGTTGCCACATGAGTCATTTTGTCAAGTTATATCAAAATCAGACTGCTACTAGAAAGCACTTCGGATCCTGAACTAAAGAAACTATTAACAAAATAACATGTTTGTTATGGTAGAAAGCTCCAATTCATATTAATTGAATACTGAGTTGACTTTGGAGTAGTTAAAAAATGCAACAATGTCCTATTTTTCTGGGATCTTAGCTGACACAGCTGGGAATTACAGTATTGCTGTTGTGTGTTGAATGCAACCTAAAGATATCTTGGTAGAATGCCATTGTCTTGGACAACATTGTAAATATTACATATTCACAAACAGACATCAAACATGGTTCAAGTTTTTTGTTTCCTCAAGGTACAGTTGTATTGTACAGTTTAGTTTATATTGGTTCATCCATATTTAATGGAGATAGTCATTGGTTTTTGATATGGCAACAAGCTGGACATACTACTCAGTGAAGAAGTCAAAAAATGGTAGCATCTAACTGTTTAATGTCATCAAAGACGATTTTGGCTACTAATGAAAAATAGTAAACATCTAATATATCACAACTAGATTACCTAATTGGACTAAGATCAACAATATTAGTTTATCAATTAGATCCCAACTTGTTCTGATGGAAGACAAACACTGATTGGACAATTACAGTCAACAAATTTTGTAGAATGCATATAATGGACCTTTAATCAGACAGTGAAAATACTATAACTTTACCATTTAAACCTGATGGAAGCAATAAAAACCTAGAACGCTTATTTGGCCATAATAAGTTGCAGTTATTCCTGAGGTACAGATTAGGCATGAAGAATGTACCAATCTATGTCAAACCTCCACTATTGCAACACAAGATACAGTTGCTTTTTCAAGAAAAAATAGTATGTTAAAATAGAACCTGATGACAATACCCAAGACATCGAGTGTAATGACTTGTTCTTTTGCTTTAAGTAAATAAGTAAAATTAAAAGATTGCTCCTTACCTGTTGCACAAAGAAGACAACCCCCAAGAGACATCCATGCCTGAGTTGGATTTCTTTGGAAAAAATAGTAGATATAAACAGGGCTAAATGCTCTCAAAACATCTGTTCCATACTTAAAAAGGTTGTAGATTCCAACGAATCCAAGTGAGCAAAACCATATAAACAGTGCAGGACCCACAGCAAGCCCAACTTTGCTTGTTCCAAACCTCTGAACACTGAACAGGACAATAAGAGATGCAATTGAAATCATCACCACTTCATCTGCAAAAAGTTGTAGAGAAAATTAACTATACACGCTGATAAAATATCGTAAGAAAACTAAACAGACAAAAAAAAGAGCTACACTTGAATTTCATGCTCCAATCTAAGATTTATAATAATACATCCCTCACCATGGATTATCTTCACAGGCTTGCTTTGCCCAGGTGTGTTTTCAGTGAACAAACTACACTAGAAGAATCTGCAAGATCTTGATACATTAACTAATGGTTATCAATTTCTTTAATTGGTGAGGTTAAGGTAAGGGTGGGAAAAAGATCATCCAATCCATCTGACAAGCCTAATAAGACACAAATTTGGACTCAAATATCGCAAGTCATGCCTGATAACTAGCTTTGAACATATTTATTCTGATTAAAATAAAACAGCATTGGTCAGAAACTACATTTTTGGACTATCTGAGTGGCAATAACCCAATTCTATCAGTGGAGGGCTAATCCAAACCAGCCACATTGATCAATGAGATGGAAACAACCATGTGACAAGACGTATTTTTATAAATGGCATGGTTTTGGTGGTGGATGGTTTGCATTAATGAATAACGACCCATGTCATCCACAAAAGGTAACACTTAAATTATGTCTCAAAATCCACATGTGGTATCATCATCTCACCGCATGGGTTATAGTAAGCCCGACACTTCACACCCATACAATTCACCAAACCGTACTTGGAGAATGGTCATCCTCCCATACCCAGCTATGGAAAAATGACTCCTACCTTAGGAAAGATGGAATACCGCAAATGGCAATACTTCTTCAATCATGCAAGATTCTTCTTTATGTCTCTCATCACCCCTTTTTCTAACAACAATTATCCTAAACAGTTAAAAGATTGTAAGAGGAAAGATGAAGCTCAGAAGGCATAGGAGAATTTCAACTTACTCCAAGCCATACACAATGGAAGGCATGAAGCTCATAAGGCATACAAAAATTTCAACTAACTCCAAGGACACAATGGAAGGCCTTTCATATATGATAGACAGCCTTGGACCACATGTACCGTGCACAGATAAAAAAAAGTAATATGGTGTGCGGCTAGTGGGCAACCCATGAATCTCACCAGCCACACAGCCTTCTACATCACATATAGTATAGATATTAGATAAACCAGTTAAATTATCACAACATATATTGATTAAAAACTATCAGAAGAATTGCAGGAATGTTGAATGTGATCAGTAATGCTCACATTTCACCAGTTGTTAAATGAAAACATTCATATAAAGATGCCTGCATCTGAATAATAGTTATGATCACAAGGTTACCTTGCTCCACACTAGATATTCCAAGCTTCAATCCACTGAAAGCTGACATAACTGCGATCACAAATATTAAATAAAATAATCATATAAGAAGAAGTAACAAAAAAAAAGAAGACATATTACTAGTTAGGCAAAGCAACAAGATTTTTATGTTTGTTCTCAAATGTTAGGCAACATGATAGCAGTAAATATGGATTTGAGGAAACTAATCACGCAACCTGACATTGCTGGAGTGACAACACCATCAGCAATCACCATAGAGGTACCGAAAAGAACCAAAATCAAAAGCAGCTTTTTGAGTAATAATGAATTTTCAAGATATTCCTTGATTTTTAGAGACCTTTCCAGCTCCGGCGATGGCACCTTGAGCCTAAAACTCGATATGCGAGCATCAGAAGGCAACTGATTTGGAAGAAGACTGGCCTTTGCATTTCTGCATATCAAAGAATACAAAGCAAAGGTGCCCCCTGCAAAAGGTACAGCATAATGAGAAGACACCAAAATAACCTCCTAGTAAAAAAGGGTTGCATACAATAATACCCATGCATACGGCTCCTAGCATACCTTCGCCATTATCATTGGCCCAGAGGACAACCAAGATGTACTTCACAAGCGGTATCAAGATCAAAGTATATAAAACAAGAGAGAGTGCTCCTAGAACATCTTCCTTCTGAGCGAGAGGATACTTGTTGAACAAAACATCAAAAGTATACAATGGGCTGGTCCCAACATCACCAAACACCACTCCAAGTGTCTGAAGAGCAAGCACTATATGTCTTCCCAGACTATCATCCTGCGCAATCAAGCAGACCGGCTTTAGAGAGCAATCACCAGCACGAAAATACATATTCCAAAGGAAGGTTATCTTTAAAGTTGGCCAAATCTAAATCCTCAATTGCCACACTACCAAGAGTTATGCACCACCATTTTCTTTTTGAAGAATCAATTCTTTCATATTCTTTAAAGATAATCAGAAAATATCAACATAATTAATTGCATTGGAAAATATGCTGCACAATAGCCATCAGGATACATTGACATACCAATCAAATTAACATGATAAATTCAAGAAATATCCCAATTTGATGATCAATACCCACCTCAAAATCGTTCCTAGGGGCACCAGGTACCTCGAGAGCCTCGACGTCGAAGGAATCGATTCGGGGGGCGGTTCGGATCAGCCTCTGCTCCACATTATCATCTTCCTCCTCCGACTCCAGGCCCATCCTCTGCGACAACGACTCCCCTTCCTCATCCGAATCCTCCTCCTCGTCCCGGGCGACCCATCTGGATTCGGTGGAGTCCATCTTGGCCAGCTGCCCGTACACCCTCTCCGACCCTTCCGCCATCGAGCTCTGCACCAATTATTTCCCAAACCGAACCCTAATCCATCAGGAACCACATAAAAGATCACCAGGATGAAAATGAATCGAGAGAAGACAAGGAATTAGGGATTAAGACTCTATAGAGAGAGGAAATGGGAAGAAGCATCAGAGAGTGGACAATCGGAAGCGTACGCACGAAGCCGGATATCCAGGGTGGAAAAAATAAATAAATAAAAGAATATTTCGGAGACGGCGTTTACAAGGGACGCCCGAAACCACGGGCGTTACGAGGAAAGCAAGCCTCCTGTCTGTTCAGAGCCAGGGAACACGGATGAAAACCCACAAATAAAGCTGATACGATAACATATGAACATATGGCCCACTGGGTACTGAGAGTTAGCGTGGATCCCGCATGGATCAAGGCAGCTGAGCTACACAGGTCTGACTGCGGTGCTCCCTGACGTGGTTTCGCTAAACGGCCGTCATAGCGGTCATAATATAGAGATAGAATATAACTAACTGGTGTAATTACATATGTCTTTTGACTAATCGAAGGTTCAAATTTTGTTTCCTAATTATTTATTGCCTACTCATTTCACCTTCCTACCCCTTCCAATTAATTATCTATACACATATATATTAAAACAAAAGGGTTATTCATAATCGTATGTATTAATGCATGTATTAACTTATTGCAGGTGCAAATTTTTTTGACCCACTATCATCCTTGAACGCTCGACTCCGTGCACTCCTCCCCTGATGGCGCGACGATCTGCTGACCTCTGTCGCCTGCGTCACTTCGACCCCCTCCACAAAGCCTCCTTCCCTTCATTCCTCCGATCTCAGTGCCATCTGCACCTCCGCACCAAAGCCGCTCGCCGCCGCCCCGATGACGACCCCGACGATCGGCACAGGCGGAACGACGCCGGAGGCGGTGGCGAACCTTGGGACCGCAGCTTCCGCCTCGACAAGGGCCGCGGCCAGTACCTCCTCACCAACCCCCGCGTCCTCGACACCATCGCCCGAGTCGCCGGACTCCGCCCCTCCGACACCGTTCTCGAGATTGGCCCCGGCACCGGTAATCTCACCGCCCGGCTCCTCCAGTCTGCCCGCAGAGTCGTCGCTGTAGAGATCGATCCACGCATGGTCGATTCTGTCCTCGCTCGCGCGTCTCGCCTCGGCGTCGACGATCGACTTACGGTACTCGATCCCACGCCCTTAATTTGTTCGTCGTAATTCCTCGGTGAAGTAAGAATAGGAGTTTGCTGTAACTTGTTGGGTTGAATGGGAACATGACGTATCAGGTAATCACTGGCGACGCGCTGAAGACGGAGTTCCCAGAGTTCGACATCTGCGTCGCTAACATACCTTACGGGATCTCGTCACCTCTTATCGCGAAGCTTCTCTTCAGTACGAGCAGGCCATCCAGCTTCAGGAGCGCGGTGCTCTTGCTCCAAAAGGAGTTCGCCCGGCGGCTCCTGGCCGTGCCAGGTGACTCGGAGTTCAACCGGTTGGCTGCAAACGTGAGCCTGGTGGCCACAGTGGAGCTGCTGATGGACGTGAGCAAGAAGGACTTCGTGCCTTGCCCAAAGGTGGACTCTACGCTGGTGCGTCTCCGGCCCAGGACTGATGTTCCTGAGGTTGATTTGGATGAATGGTTGGCTTTCTCCCGCACATGCTTCAGCAACAAGAACAAGACCCTGGGTGCCATCTTTAAGCAGAAGAAGAGGATTGCCGAATTACTTGGGAGGTCCAAGTCTGAAGGAAGATCTATCAAAGTTTTCATGGAAGAGGAGCAGAATGATAATGGAGCCGAGGAGAATGATGATGACAATCGTGACGATGATGATCTTTTGGAGCAGAATGCATCTGAAGTAAGTTCTTTTAAGGAGAAGGCTGTTGGGATATTGAAGTCTGGGGGCTTTGAAGGGAAGAGACCTTCCAAATTATCCAACGAAGAATTATTGCATCTGCTACAGCTTTTTAATCAAAATGGTGTTCAGTTTCGATAGCTCAAGTTGAACTTATTTGGTCCCATTGTGTTTGATTGCAAGCAAAAGCAATTCCCAGAGCAGCTGTCTGCTCTATTTGTGGATAGATCTTGTGATATAACCAACATTATAAGCTCCAGACTACCTGATTACTTGTACTCACATGGGTTACAAAGAGTCAACAGAAAGGTTTTGTGAGCTCTGACTTATGCCACTGATATGATTCAAGGAGTTGCTTGTTGCTGGGAAAATGAAATGAATATTCTCCAATTTATTGGAAGTCTTTCTTCCGAGGATTCAGCAAAGCTCAATGTGAAGTACTCTGTTTCTCTTCTATCCACAACCCTAGGTGAAGGCAATCTTTTAACTGCAGATACCATCATGTTATATGTCCAGAACAACTGACAAGCCTACTGCCTTTTCTGTTATGCTAGAAGCTGATGCAGAACTTTTGACATTTGATGTCTCTCTAATATGCGATCCTAAGCTTGTTGTTGCTGAAGTACCAATATTTAGATCATCGCTCAGTTGACTGCAGAGATGTACGTATCTATTTCACTTTCCATGATCAAATTGCAAACGGATGTTGGAGTATGACTCATCAATTAAGGTATCAGCATTATGTTTCATAGCTTTCTGAGTTCTCCTAGAAATCAAGAGGTCTTTACATAATATTGGTTTAGCAGTCTATGCATAAGAATTAAAACCAATCACTCATTTAGTGTTGATTAATATGGATGAAATAGAGAAGGGCACCATGAAGTCAGCTCTTGCTTTTTTATTGATAGGAGTGATCCAGGTTCCACAATTAGGATTGCAAAAACCTTCAGGTTTGTGATGAGACTTGTTACTTAAGTTATTATCTAATATTTATAATTGTGAGATTGATGCAAGAGGCACTGTCATTGTTCTGTTATGAATGTTTGATGATTAATGCTATTTTGTGATATACTCAATTTTAACTGTGTGGTCTGCTAAAGGATTTCCCACATCTGATGGTCCTCTCACAATGGCAATGTCATTTGACTAGATAGTAAGTAAAAAAATTGCATGCATTGGATACTGCTTGTGCCATGGGTGTCTATTCAGTCACTAATTATTTGAACTAGTAGGACTAAAATCAAAATCAATTTTTGGAGGAACTATAAATGAGTGAAAACTTCCAAACATAATACAGTGTGCCTCATGTAATACACTTGCCCACCAGAAAAGGGTTTTATGCCACAGACATCATGGGGTAAAATGACTGCTTCCTGAAAGCCAATACTATTATCTGATAATTATTTCCTTAGAAACAAAAAGGAGCAACTGATTAATTAAAGCATTAACATAAATTTAATAGAGAATAAAATTGTAGCATTTAGTTCATAGTGCACACACACACACACAGGTAAAACAGGCAGCATCTTCCTCTTTCCTGTATGAAAGCTCTGGTATTGCTTCCATGCTAATCATGTCCACCTTGACGAATCTGAAGTCGTTTAATTTGCAGATGAACCTATCCAGTCTTTTCCGCAATGGCCTGTTGTGCATTAACATTGGGTTTGACTTGGTATCGGAAGTCCATCCTTTCTCTTCAAGTCTCAGCTCACTCCAAGCATCAAGCCAACCATCGTGCAGAGGGAAAGGGCCATCTAACTATTAATCTGAGTTCATATCACCACCAAATATAACATTGGGTGCATTTGATAGAAGATTAAGAGCCATTTTAGCCTGTGTTAGACCCTCCATACTGTGCATAATTGGTGGTATTGGGCTCTCCAGATGGCTAGTTGCAATTTGCAACTGTTAGATTCTGACCCATGCCAAATCAATCTCAGCTGCTCAAAGCTCTCTTCCCATGGAGGAGTTTGGAAAGCGACCACAGTAGAACCTTTTGCCAGGTGACTTGGTCAACTACAAGAGGTTAACAATTTTTAGTTTTAGCATTAGCGTTAGCAATAACGTTAGCACATTGTCAATCAAACATAATTAGTTTGCTATTAAGCTCACAGTTCAACTTTACCCTACATATTTTATTTTATGCCAGACTGTTGCAAAAAAAAAGCAAAGGAACCAAAAGGCTAAGCCTACTTTCTGGTGGTTGCTTGTAGATGTTTTTGTTTAAATCTTGATCCCTGCATGCAACGTAGGAGCTTAGATATTCATGATCACCCTGTAGATTCATCACAAAAAGATACAGCAGGAATGTAGCATATATATAAACCCGACAAGGAATGTATCTGTTCATATAAATGTGATCAGTTGAATGGATGATCTACTTATGCAATGAAAGAGAAAAAGATGGATCCAAAATTTTGCAACTGATTACCTTGAGGCACAAATGTCAAACAATATAATATGATATATTTTAACAAATTAAAGAAAACAACAAGGATTCAATGACTTAACAACACACATGCACACATATTCCAGATATGAGTATACCAGCATGCAGAAGCATCTTATGTTTGCTACCTCTGATGAAACTGAACATTGATATGCTTTCCACCAGGATGAGCTCTGAGAGATGTCATAGATATTTTGTGAGACTTCTTGAATTAGGTTTATCACAGTTGAGAATAGGTGTTAAGCAGATGTTGTGTTAATGCAGAAGCTTTAAGACTTGCAGGAGTTGGTGGTACCTACATCTGGAAGATGTTGCAGTATCAGGCGCCTAATTGCTTTCATTCTCTCATGCAGTTCCAGTTCTTCATTGAACCAGACATTGTAAGTCATGACTTTCTCTATTCCGGCACTAAGATCTTGGCTTTCCAATGTCACAAGTAACATCATGTTTACTGATTTAGAAAGATGCAGATGATAGTGATTGTACTCCTGGTTTGTTCACTTGCAAACTTGATTTCATAATCAGAACTTTAGTAAGAGAAATTTTACAGTTAGAAATTTTGGAACCAATGTATCTCAGGAATAGGAAGTTATGAGATATGGTATAAAGAAATCCACCAGTGGTTGTTAATGTCATTTGTTCTGAAAAATAACCTAAAATCATAACTAAGCAACCTTTCTGAAGGGAAAATGGAGTGAATAATTATTCAAACTTGAACCGATGATTATTTCAGCCTGAAGTATTTGCACCCAACAACATATCAACACTTGTTTTTAGAACAACTTGGCTCTCTATTGTAGTCAAATGTCAAAAAATAATCTGAAGAAAAAGTAGCTGAGAAATTTCTATCTTAGATAAATTCTGTGAATGAACTGCAAGATCATGTTCTGATCCCTCCAGGTCTTTTATACTGATAATATACCTTTAGGGGTTTCTTTGAAAAACAGAAATTTTTGTTTTCTATATATCCTTGTAAGGTTTGAGAAATGACATATATCATGTATTGATATTCCAACTATTTGGCATCAATTACATGAATTTTAGTATAGTCTAAGATAGTATTTATCCTATGCATGTCATTCTTATTAGTATCCATCTAGAAATAGTGAAGATAACTGTTCTGAGGATAAAAGAAGTCTATACAATATTTGAAATGTTGCTAATGCTTTTCAAGTATGAGCTTTACACGATCTCAACATAAATTAGAATTTTCAATTAACAGCAAACTTACAGCAGCTAAAGAAAGTTAACCATATGTTACATATGAAAATTCTTTTGTTACATACAAAGAATTACTCAAAGTAGGTGGAATAAAAATTGTGGAATTAATGTTGTTTGATAACGATGCATGTGCATAGAGATGGGTGCATAAGTGAACACCTTGTATGCCCATGCAACCCACATGGTCTTAAGCTTTAATTAGGTAATGGGACGGTGTCTTTGAGCTGAGACATTCACATGTAAGTATACGGGTCTTCCTTGCCCCATGATCATGTCATGCAAATTGGACATTATTATCACCTTCCAAGATGACTCTGTCACACCAACTTCATATTCTTTTGGCCACCACCTTCCATAGACAGACTAACATAAATTGCTGGAAGAAGGATTTTGATCACTGCCTTTTCGCATCAATCAAATGCGTTGATTAAGTAATAATGCCTATGCGCGTAGAGCCTTCTCGCTGCTCTGCAAACTCATGCCACGATAACAATTTGATCATTTCTAGCATGATACTTTCTAATATACTAACATTATTTCCTCTCCTTTATGCAATTGAGTGGTCGTCATACTTATTTTTAGAGATCTTATGCATCCAAAACTTTGGGATTCATACGTTCGTGAATTGAACTTCGTTAAAATAGTCACATTGGTTAATTGCTACTCCCATCTCACTGAGAAACCACCGTGACAAGACGCACATTCATTGCAGATGATGCCAGAACTGTTGTTCAAGAAGTCAAAAAGACCAGCTTGGTCTCTAAGAAGCAGCAGCAGCAGCAAAGTCTGAAAGCATCTTTGCCAGATGGCACTACTCGCAAGGAAGGATTCCATTTGTCAGGTGAAAGCATTCTGGGAATTCGGTGGGTTTTCCTCGAAGAAGGTGAAATATTTACGCATCAAATCGTTTAAATGAAGGAACTTGAGATCTCGGTGAATCACAAATGCATCCCTCTCACCACCAGCCAATTCCCTTCCTTGTTTTTCTCCCCCAGCATCAGCCGCTGACAGCTCATATCAGAGTGACGACTCCATTGACAGACGGGTAGCACTTTCCTCTCCCTTCTTTCTCTCGTTGTGTCTCTGCTGCATCTATATCATGGTCATTGATCCAGAGTTGGGCTGCATGCGGTTCTCTTCTCTCCTCACTCACCTCCTTTCTGTGCAGCAGTCAGAAGGAGCCGTTCCTGCAGCAGCATCCTATTGCTAGTTTTGAGGATGGGAAAGAGTCGCCTCTTGGCCTCTTTCCTCTCTCTGCTGCTGTTGCTGCCTTCTTGCGTGCTGGGGGACAGCCCATACAGGTTCTTCACTTGGAACGTGACCTATGGCGATATCTATCCTCTCGGCGTCAAGCAACAGGTCTGCTCTTCCTTCCTGTCATGCTTCTTCCTTCTTTGGTCTCGTTGGCCTTCTCTGGAGACTGAAAGAGACTGCTCTTCTTTACTTGTGGAACCGACGCAGGGGATTTTGATCAATGGGCAGTTCCCGGGGCCACAGATCGAGGCCGTCACCAACGATAACCTCATCGTCAATGTATTCAACAGCTTGCCGGAGCCCTTCCTCTTTTCCTGGTTACTCCTCTCTGCCATTAGTCCTCTCCCTTGTTTCATCATGACGCACCATATCTTCCGTGTCTCCCTGTCTCATGTTTGGCTTATTGGTTTGACTGGGGATGCGTGCTCGACGATCTACCAGATTATTTCTTGTTTCTTTGAATCAGACCGGACGCTTTTATGGTGATAAATGTCTGTGTGTGGGATCTAATCTCATGTCGCCGAGAGCAAGATCTGAAGGTCAAAAGTTCAAGGAGCTTTTAGTTCCTCTTTTTGGTGGCTATCTTGTGTCAGGTTCTGACCTGCAGAAAAGTTGTCTAGTCTGCTTTGACTCAGCTTTTAGGTCCTCTTTTTAGAGAGAGAAATCTGACTTTTGATTCAGCTTCAGTTCATCTTCTGTGCATCTGTCTCGTGCGTCGAACCTAAAAGTCTTACTCTGTTTCCATCATATATTCGATGATACCGATTTAAGACCTGTTTAAGGATATCATTGGTCTTCTTCTTACAGGAACGGAATACAACAAAGGAGAAGCTCGTGGCAAGATGGTGTTTATGGCACCAACTGCCCCATCCCCCCCGGTGGGAACTTTACGTACACCATGCAAGTGAAGGACCAGATCGGGAGCTACTTCTACTTCCCCTCGCTGGCCTTCCACAAGGCCGCCGGTGGATATGGTGGCATCAGAGTTCTAAGCCGCCCATTAATCCCAGTGCCTTTTGCACCTCCGGCCGCCGATTACACTGTCTTGGTTGGCGACTGGTACAAGGCTAACCACACTGTAAGCATGCATCTGCTGACACTCGTACTCCTCTTCTTCATGTAGTCAGTCCACTTTGATGATCCTTCCCCGCTTATCTTTTTGTGTTGTTTAGGACCTGAGAAACATATTGGACGGTGGCAAAGATCTTCCCTTCCCTGATGGTCTTCTAATTAATGGCCAAGGATCGAATGGAAGCGCATTTACTGTCGATCAAGGTACCTGTTCTCATCTCTGCATCGATCAACATAATCTTGTAGCAGTTCATTTTCTTCACCTAAAACTCCTCGTATTTAAGGTAAGACGTATAGGTTTCGAGTATCGAACGTGGGGGTGGCAACATCACTGAACATAAGGATTCAAGGGCATGCATTGCTGTTGGTGGAGGTGGAAGGATCTCACACCCTCCAAAACACCTATTCTTCGCTCGACATCCACCTCGGCCAGTCTTACTCCTTCCTCGTCACGGCTGATCAGCCACCCATGGACTACTACATCGTCGTTTCGACGCGATTCACCACCACCGTGCTCTCCACCACCGCCATCCTCCATTACAGCAACTCCGACGGGAAGCGGGTCGAGCCACCGCCGGGCGGGCCGACTACTGACATCGAATGGTCCCTCAACCAGGCGAGATCGATCAGGTATATATCCTCACACTGTCGTTACATGTCAAATTGTTCCAATGATCAGGCATTCTCACATTTCTTGTGCATCCAAACACCAGGTGGAACCTGACAGCCAGTGGACCGAGACCCAATCCCCAAGGCTCTTATCACTATGGCTATGTGAACGTCACAAGGACCATCAGGATTGCCAACTCTGCACCGGTCATCAACGGCAAGCAGAGATATGCCGTCAACAGTCTCTCCTTCATTCCAGCTGATACGCCCCTTAAGCTAGCGGACTTCTACAACATCTCCGGAGTGTTTGAACTCGGAAGCATTTCAGATATCCCTACATCCGGGCCTGCTTCTCTTCGAACATCAGTCATGGCGGCCGATTTCCGAGCTTACGTCGAGATCGTGTTCGAGAACTCCGAGACCAGCGTGCAGTCTTGGCATATCGATGGATATAACTTCTGGATCGTCGGGTAAGAACTGCTGCTGCAACATACTATCTGGAAGATTGATTGACTTGTGATTCTGTAACCAAAGGTGACTTGGAAATGGCAGAATGGATGGAGGGCAATGGACACCGGCAAGCAGGGATAGCTACAACCTAAGAGATGCAGTATCTCGGTGCACTGTTCAGGTACTATGACATTTATGCTTAGATACAGTCTTACTGGTTTGCTGAGAAGTATACATGGCATTCATTCCGGTGGGTCTGCTGCTGATGATCGCATGTGATTGCAGGTGTATCCCAACTCATGGTCAGCTATCTACATGCCTTTGGACAACGTGGGCATGTGGAACATCCGATCGGAAAACTGGGCTCGCCAGTACTTGGGTCAGCAGTTCTATATCCGCGTCTACTCTCCGGCGAACTCATGGAGGGACGAGAATCCAATCCCAAGGAACGCCCTTCTCTGCGGCCGGGCGTCAGGCCGTCGAACGAGGCCACTCTGGTGAAGCACAAGCACAAACATCTTCGCTGACACGATCTCTCTTCTCTCTCTTGCCAGCTTCTTCCATTGATTTCTTCTTGGATTTTTAGTTCTTACTGTTCTTTGTACTACTTCCAATCTCTCTCAGTCATCTCAAATACTATGAATCTCCGATTATTTCAGTGAGATCTATTTGAATCTGTGTATGATCTGCATTCATGTGATTATATCAGAACGCAGGTTAGGCAAAGAAAGCAAGCATTTAGGTACATGAAAAGTCATCACGAGTATGCTGCATGCAATAAATGCCAGCTCGAAAACTCACGCAGATGTTTCGCATTTATCTGTTTTAGTAGTAGATGAAGATGTTGCAGGGCAAATGGCATCTGATTGCCCCTAACAAGCGCGGAGATAGAACCAAAAGGAAATGCAATGCCATTGCTTTTCCTCAGTTCCGGAACTGCACGACCCATAAGTAACAAGAAAATGAATCCAGATTTTGATCTAAAAAAGTTCTTATTCACTGAGTTCGAATGCCAATAAAGGGAATCAAATTTCAGGCAAATGACTTCTCTAATCATGCAATCTGATCCACATCCGGAGCTTTTACTGTTCTTATTATACGTAATGAACTACAGCTGCAAGCACAACTATTCGGGGTTTTGAACTGCGTTCTTGAACCGGAACGGACCGGCCAATTGCCGATCCCGTAACGGATGTCGTCCCCTCCTCCCCTCGCCGTAGGATACGATCGATTCCGAGGAAGATAAATGCCAGACTGCGTACCGTAGTCCATCACTCTGGCATTCTCGTCGTCGCCTCCTCCCCTCGCCGTAGGATACGGTCGATTCCGAGGATCATCAATGACCCACTCGCCGTAGAATAACAACGCAATCTCCACCAGAGATCACCAAACTTCTTGATCATTCATTTCTTTACATTTTCTCATTCTTCCCTTTTCTTTTTTTTTTCCCTCCGCACAATCCTAGATATCATACATTTAGGAACTGTCTCATTGGTGTTAAGATCGGTCTCTACAGTATCTCTGTCCTTCTGTAATAATCTTGTAAATTGTCTCTTATTGTGATCACAAATATGAATAAGTTGTTTTTCTTTTTTGTTGGTCTGATTTCCTGCTGTTTCTACCATATGTTGAACCTATTGTTTGTATAATATCTTCTTAGACAAGTTTGAGATGTTTGGGGTTTGTCTTCACATCTTCCTTAAAAAATCAATTTCAATATTGGTTTTATAGGAACTTTGGTCCAAGTATTTCTACAATAATAAAGGTTAGCTATGCTTCTTGTGTACAAAGATTAATGATAGAGAGTACTTCAGCACTAGTCATAGGTCATTGATTGATAGTTGCAAGGAACTGATGTGGAGGACAACGTGACATCTATTTGATGTAGAAGAGGGTTGAGATGGCAATCGATACTTCCTTGATCGTCCCTTGCTAACCCTGTGTTACACGAGGTGGTACGAATCGATGCCACGTCACATGAACCCAAATAGGTTGACTCGTGCTGCAAGGGGTTATACAAGTCAATCACTCGCATGAAGACGCCATAGGAGGTATGAGCGGCATTTGTAGCCGCAGTTCCCATCCATCAGCTCCGCATATATAAAAATTGGTTTCAATGTCTAAAGAGAGAATCGATCCCAAAAAACCCTACCAGATATAGAACTAAATTTTCATCAGCTAACTTATGCATTGGAGGGTTTGGGTCGATAATCCTTCCCAACATCGACCTATTGTGCAAGGTCCCCATAGTGATTGAATATATTCTAGCTCTACCTTGGGATAACCTTGGAATCACTCTCATCGGCCCCTGTTCAGTCTTAATCACTTTTTTCCTCTCTCGAGAAGATTCATATGGACGATTTTATACCTTCAAGACAAAACCAAGCCGCACCGACTCCTGATCCACAACATTAAGTTGTTAACTATATCTAAGTTGTTAATAACTAGCATCAATGCAATTCTTAGAAAGTCAATGAATACATTTATTTTTAGCCTGCAAGCACATTTGTTTCTGCAACTTAATCCTGATCGAATGCATTACAAACACTGCTCTTATTCTTTAAATTCTTAAAATACATTTGTTAATATTCTCCACATCCTCCCTTGCTCTCGCCTACATGCTATCCATTTGGATATTAATATATGACATATTGTGGGAATGAACAATGCTTTTAAGTTTGAGATTCCAAAGACTTTGACGCCAGCAACTTAAGTGAAACTCCCTTCAAACATGAGATTCGACGAGGATCAATGTACACAATTCTACTTTACAGATAAAACATGCCTTATAAGATATCTAAGATAAACGCTTTGATGATTGTAAAATATATATGATTTTGTTATTAGTATAGTAAAAATAATTATTTAATATAAAATATAAAATTATTGTACAAATAATGTTTGATATAATATTTATGTATATTCTTTTTAAATTTTATTTATGTTTTTTATAATATATAGAGAGCTTGTAATAGGTTTGATAATCTCATTTTGGTTGTCGTTTATAATTTTATTTATGTTTTAGTTTTGTGAATATAAGTTGTATATAATATAGTACTTTATATTGCACAGAGGTAAAACTATCCAAATAGTTATTTTGATATTTTTCAACTCTGTAGAGTGGTGCGAAGTATCAACCAATATAGTATCCTAAAGCTACTCGAGTGGCACATGACTGGATGAGCCTTTAGAGTATTATCTAGGCTAGTTTGCTATCTTATTCCATAGTAATATTGTATGAACAGTTGTAGGGACTTTTGATTATGGTGAATCGCCTTGGACCCTTTGTTGCATAATTATTCAGAGTTTACAAACTCTATATTTATAATTTGCATTGTCTATCATGTGTTTATTAAAATATTTGCTTGTAGGGTCCTAAGTCATTTCCTTTAACTTATCTTCTCTTTTGTAGATCCTTAAGGGACCATAAGAGGTTTCAAGTGTTGAATCTCGGATTTTGATGATGAAACCAATTGATAGTATTTATTATTTAATCTATGTTTTGAGTGACGCAGTGTCATGGACAAAGTTCTAAACAGGATGTTTGATGTAGTACTTGTGTATGTCCGTATCTTTCTGTTTGTTTATGTCCGTATCTTTCTGTTTGTTTATGCTTTGCACAACATGTAGAGGAACGGTTGAAGGCTTAACAATCCTATTTTAGTTGGGTTTGGTGGCCTTCTTAGGTTTGTAAATAAATATTGTGTTATGTGGACACTTATGAGAGATATTTGGTCTGTAGTGGACCATTTTGACCCTTTGTTGTGCAATCATTCAAAGCTTGTAAAGTATGTTTGTAATTTGCATTGTCTATGAAGTGTTTTTGAAAATGTTTGATTGTGGACCCCGAGTGAGACGCTTTCTCTAACCCGTTTTCTCTTTTTTAGATCCTAAGAGACCATGGGAGGTTTCGGGGAGGCTGACCATTGCGGACGGACACGCAAGGGTGCCACACAACTTAGGCAAAATCAGCTAAGTTCGTAACAGCAAGATGCTTCAATCAGGGAGAGACAATTAAAGCAGGAAGAATCATGTTGGGTCGGAGAAACACATGTCAGAAGATTGGACATCGCGCTGAAGGATCAATCGACATATTGACAGAAGGCTTCGGACCATGGTTTCGGACATTTGGCCAAGAAGAGTGGATATTGCGCCAAAGATATCAGAGTTGTGGAGGTCAACTGGCCAATTGGGCAATAGGCCATAAGAGAGGACGATGCACCGAAGAATCAAACGAAGCGTCGATGGACCAATGACATGCCGGACAACATGATTCATGCTTAGTAATAATTATCTAGATCGAATTATGTTTTATATCTGCAGGATTAACTACAATAGCAAGGCATAAATCAAAATGATGTTCCGGAGTCAAGAACGAGATTTCGTTAGGAGTTCGAGAGTTCGTCAGAAGTCCGGACGTTCATCAGAAGTTCTGTTGGAATTGACCAAGAAGTCCAGGAGTTTACCAAAGAAATTCTTTAGAACTTTCTAAGAAGATCATCGTGAAGTCCAGGAGCTTTTTGGGAGTCCGTTGAAACATTACCGATAGATCGTCGGAAGTTCACCGAAAGATTGTTAGAAGTTCGTCGGAAGAAACCTAGACTTAGGGACTTTGTTTACTTAGTAAATATCTTAAAATTCATAGTTAGCATATAATTAGGATTAGAATTGGGCCAACCTAATTAGGGGATAGTTAGGCCCAAGTTTGGACTGTGTTGGGCTAAGAGAAAGGCCCAAATAATGACCAAATAAGTGAAACCATCGTGGCATAATCTTCAAGACTATGTCAGGCGGTGATATCACCAATCTAGGTGATGGTACTGCCCAGACACAATCTTCTAGGTGGTGGTACCACCATACTAGGCGGTGGTACCGCCCAATGTCAGGTTGCAGGCGGTGGTATCGCTCGTACCCTAAAATTTCAGGGATTTGAATTTTGGCTCCATTTTTTAACCCATTTGATGTCTATAAATACCCTAGCTATTCCTGCATAGAGCAGTAAGAAAAGTGAATAAAAACTCTGTGTTTCTAGAGTTGAAAACCCTTGTAAAGTATAGAGTCCCTCCTCCTAAAGTTTAAAGACCATTCTAAGGAAGAGTGTGAGGGAAGCTTTGTAAAAATAGGGTGTAAATATTCTCTCCTGAGCCTATAAAAGGAGAATAGAGTTATAAAAAAGAGATTGATCTTTGCCTATTAAAGAAATATCATTAGTGGATGCTGGTGACCTCGACAGAAGAGGAATCGGTGGAGTGGATATAGGTCACAATGACTAAATTACTATAACTCGGTTTGCATTTACTTCTTGCAATTTACATTTATTGCAAACTGCCCTTCTTTACTCTCACTACTCTACTTTCTCATTACATGATTACATAAGTGTTTTTAAGTTAAACATATTTCTTATCGCTTTTAATCGTATGAAGATTTTTCAAACCGACGTGATTTTTACCGCTGCACTAATTTAGCCCCCCTCTTAGTGCCAGCTCGTTCCTAACATCAAGAAGGTTAACCTTTAATGAACAGACACATCAGAGTATTATACAACTTAGACAAACCCAGCTAGGTCCATGACATATGATATCAGAGAGTGATAAGCACACCTTAAAACACTAGGTATGCAAGCGTGGGGGATCTAGTCAAGTTACGTTGAGGACAACTAGAATGGACGATTGTTTAAGGGAA